CTAGGTATGGTGGAGTAAGGAGGTGGTGGCAGTGAGCAAGATGGTATGGTGGAGTAAGGAGGTGGTATGGTGGGAGTATGAGGTGGCAGGAGAGAGAGGTGGAGTAGGGGAGGTGGTATGGTGGAGTAGAGAGGTGGTATGGTGGGAGTAAGGAGGTGGTATGGTGAGTAAGGACGTGGTATGGTGGAGTAGGGGAGGTGGAGTAGGGAGGTGGTATGGTGAGTAAGAGGTATGGGAGAGATGTTTTTTCTGTCCTGTGCCTGAGCCACTCTGCCTGGGCGACAAGAAATATTCATGAGAAGTAAAACCCAGACGAAATTTTGTCAGGGCCTCCCTACGACACTCCACCTCCTGTACATGGTCAACCAGGAGGTCCGTCATCAGTACCATGGTTAAGTGACCAATATCAGGTGTGGTGTACTAGGTAATTTATCGCTACATTAAACCATCAACCTGGCCTTGTAGTCAATCGGTGACAAGTTATCAACACCCCCAAAGGAAACGATTAAACTGAGAGGCTGTAGAAGGAGGTGACAGAAGTGCGACCACATGACAAGGATTACTCCAATGACAGGTAAGTGTCTGTGAGATGAGGTGAGAGGTAATGAAGTCAAGGATGGTAGAGATTTGAAGGGAATGAGGAGGTAGGAGGTATGGATATGGACAGGTACTACACAGGTAGGTAGATAGACAGACAGATAAATGATGACAGGTACTGTGAAGGGGATTCAGGTAGAAACTTCAAGAGAGAGGAGAGAGAGAGAGAGAGAGTAGAGAGAGAGAGAGAGGGAGAGAGGGAGAGAGAGAGAGAGAGAGAGAGAGACATCGCTTATGGCCACTCCTTGAGAATATTTGTTTAAGAGTCCTTATAGCGCCATTTCCTCAGCTTATTCTTGTTTAAGCTTCACGCTGTACTGAAGAGAGGGAGAAGGAAGAGGAGGAGGAAGGAGAGGTGGTGGTGGAGGAAGAGGACAGGGCAAGAGGAGAAGGAGGAAGAGGAGGAGGAAGGAGGAGGAGGAGGAGGATCGCGTCTCTCTTGGTGTCTCTAGTGAAATTCCCTGAGCTCATAAAACATTCCTGGTGGAGTTGAGTTGCGTGGAGTTGAACAGAGAGAGAGAGGAGAGAGAGACTCTGGACTGAGACCCCTCTCTCTCTCTCTCTCTGGGATGACAGCAATAAATTAGTCCCTGGCAAGTAATTTTTTTTTCCATTGTTGTAAGTAGTTGATCCTTGGGGGTAGTTGGGATCCTGGGGAGAAGGGGATCCTTGGGGGGTAGCTGGGATCCTGGGAGGCAGTTGGGATCCTAAAGAAGGAACCTTGGGGGATCCCTTGGGAGGTAGTTGGGATCCTGGGGGTAGTTGAACCTTGAGGGTAGTTGGGATCCTTGGGGGGTAGCTGGGATCCCTGGGGGAAGCTGGGATCCTGGAGGCAGCTGGGACCCTGAGGAAGCTGGGATCCGAGAAGGTAGCTGGGGATCCTTCAGTAGCTGATCCCTGGGAGGTAGTTGGGATCCCTGGGACAGAGATCCCTGAGGTAGCTGGGATCCTGGGAGGAAGCTGTCCTGAGTAGCATCGTAGGATCCCTGGAGTAGCTGGGATCCCCAAAGCAGTTGGGATCCCTGGGGGCAGCTGGGATCCTTTGGGGTAGTTGAGATCCTGGGACAGAAAGATCCTGGGAGAACGGATCCCGAAGGATCCTGGGGATCCCGGGAGGTAGCTGGGATCCCTGGAGGCAGTTGGGATCCCAAAAGGGGATCCCTTGAGGCAGTTGGGATCCTTGGGGGGTAGTTGGGGATCCTGGGGGTAGTTGGGGATCCCAAAGAGCAGTTGGGATCCTTGGGGTAGTTGTGATCCTTGCGGGTGTCAGGATCCTTGGGGGGCAGAAGGAGATCCCGGGAGGCAGTTGGGATCCTGGGAGGCAGTTGGGATCCCTTGGGGTAGTTGGGATCCCTTGGGGGGTAGCTGGAGATCCTTGGGAGGTAGCTGGGATCCTTGGGGTAGTTGGGATCCTGGAGGCAGTTGGGATCCTGGGGGTAGCCAGATCCTGGGGGTGGTGCTGGGATCCCTTGGGGGTAGTTGGGGATCCTTGGGGGGTGTTGGGATCCAGGGTAGTTGGGATCCTGGGGTTAGTTGGGATCCTGGGAGGCAGTTGATCCCTAGTTAGTTGGGGATCCCAGATGGAGTTTGATCCTGGGAGGTAGTTGGGGGATCCCTTGGGAGGTAGCTGGGATCCTTGGGAGGTAGTTGGGTCCTTTGGGGGTAGTTGGGGATCCTTGGGGGTTAGGTTGGGATCCTGGGAGGTAGCTGGGATCCTGGGAGGTGGGCTGTGACCTGGGTGAAGCTGGGATCCTTGGGAGGTAGTTGGGATCCTTGGGGCAGGATCCTTGGGGTTAGTTGGGATCCTTGGGAGGTGAAGTTGTGATCCTTGGGAGGTAGTTGGGATCCTTGGAGGTGAAGTGGGATCCTTGGGAGGCAGCTGGGATCCTTGCGGGTAGCGGATCCTTGGGGGTTAGTTGGGGACCCTTGGGAGGTAGTTGGGATCCTTGGGGGGTTAGTTGGGATCCTTGGGAGGTAGTTGGGATCCTGGGAGGTAAAGGGATCCTTGTGAGGTAGTTGGGATCCTTGGAGGTAGTTGGGGATCCCTTGGGGGTTAGTTGGGATCCTTGGGGAGGTAGTTGGGATCCTGGGAGGTGTTGGGATCCGGAGGAAGCTGGGATCCCTTGGGAGGTGAAGCTGGGATCCTTGGGGGTTAGCTGGGATCCCTTGGGAGGTAGTTGGGATCCTGGGAGGTGAAGGGGATCCGGGAGGTAGTTGGGGGATCCTTGGGAGGTAGCTGGGATCCCAGGTAGTTGGGATCCTTGGGGGAAGGGGGATCCTGGGGGTAGCTTGGGATCCTTGGGGTTAGCTGGGGATCCTTGGGAGGTAGTTGGGATCCTGGGAGGTAGTTGGGATCCCGGGAGGGGTAGTTGCTGGGATCCTTGGGAGGGGTAGCTGGGATCCTTGGGAGCAGAAGTTGGGATCCTTGGGAGTAGTTGGGGATCCTGGGAGGGTTGGGATCCTTGGTGCAGTTGGGATCCCTGGGAGTGTAAGTAGTTGGGATCCTGGGAGTGTGCTGGGATCCCGGGGGTAGTTGGGATCCTTGGGAGGTAGCTGGGATCCCTTGCGGGTAGTTGGGACCTTGGGGGTAGTTGGGATCCCTGGTGGGCAGTTGGGGATCCTTGGGGGGTGCTTGAGATCCTGGGGCAAGAAGCTGGGATCCCTGGGGGGCAGTTGGGATCCCGGGAGGCATGGAGATCCCTGGGGGTGAAGTGGGGACCTCAAAGAAGCTGGGATCCTGGGGCAGTTGAGATCCTTGGGAGGAAGCTGGGATCCTGGGGGTAGTTGGGATCCTGGGAGGAAGGAGATCCTTGGGGTAGTTGTCCTTGGAGGGCAGTTGGGATCCCTTGGGAGGTAGTTGGGATCCTGGAGGAAGTTGGGATCCCGCGGGTAGCGATCCCGGGGGCAGTTGAGATCCTGGGGCAGTTCGATCCCGGGAGGCAGTTGGGATCCTTGGGGGTAGCTGAGAGATCCCGGAGCAAGTAGTTGGGATCCTTGGGAGGCATTGGGATCCCTAGAGTGTAGCTGGGATCCCAGAGGTAAGTTGGGATCCTTAGGTAGTTGGGATCCTTAAGGTAGTTGGGATCCTGGGGAAGTGGGATCCTTGGGGGGTGGAAGGATCCTTGGGGGTAGCCCGAGTTGCTGGGGATCCTTGGGGGTAGTTGGGACCTGGCGTAGTTGGGATCCCTGAGGGCAGGAAGCCGATCCCTGGGAGGTAGTTGAGATCCTGGGAAGTGAAGTGATCCTTGGGACAATCCTTGGAGGGTAGTTGGGATCCTTGGGACAGAAGCTGAGATCCCTGGGAGGTAGCTGGGATCCCTTGCAGTAGTTGGGATCCTGGAGGGAAGTTGGGATCCTGGGGGTAGCGGATCCTGAGGCAGTTGGGATCCTGGGAGGTAGCTGGGATCCTGAGGGTAGCTGGGATCCCTGGGGGTAAAGGGGATCCCTGGGGGGTAGATGGGATCCTTGGGAGGAAGCGATCCTGGGAGGTGAAGCTGGGATCCTGGGAGGTAGTTGGGATCCTTGGGAGGAAGCTGGGATCCTTGGGAGGTAGTTGGGATCCCTTGGGAGGTAGTTGGGATCCCTTGGGAGAAGTTCGGGATCCTTGCGGGCAGTTGGGATCCTAGAGAAGCGACCCCTGGGAGTGGTAGTTGGGATCCTTGGGAGGTATAGGGATCCTGGGGAGGTAGTTGATCCTTGGGAGAAGTTGGGATCCGGATGCAGCCAACCCAGGTAGTTGGGATCCTGGGAGGTAGTTGCTAGGATCCTTGGGGTAGATGGGATCCTTGCGGGTAGTTGGGATCCTGGGGTGAAGTGGATCCTTGGGAGGTAGCTGGGATCCCAGATAGTTGGGATCCAAAGGATCCTGGGGTAGTGGACCCTGGGGGGAAGATGGATCCTTGGAAACAGATCCTAGCGGATCCCAGATGGGGCAGGGGATCCCTGGGGATAGTTGGGATCCTTGGGAGGTAGATGGGATCCCAGTAGCTGGGATCCTGGGGGTAGCTGGGATCCCGTGAAGTTGGGATCCAGCTGGGATCCTTGCGTAGTTGGGATCCTTGGGGGTAGTTGGGATCCTTGGGGGTAGCTGGGATCCCGGGTAGTTGGGATCCTTGAGGCAGTTGGGATCCTTGGGGTAGTTGATCCCAGGGGTGATGGGATCCCAGTAGCTGGGATCCTGCAGTCAGGGATCCTTGGGAGGTAGCGATCCTTGGGAGGAAGTGGGATCCTTGGGAGGTAGTTGGGATCCTGCGGTAGTTGAGATCCTTGGGGGAGATAGGATCCTTAAAGGAAGGGGAATCCTAGGAAGAGGATGTAAAGGAGGCTTGTAGATACCTCATTATTTACTCAGAGATTTAAGGAAAAATTTAATGTCTAATATTTAACGATAATTATTTTGTGTGTGTGTGTGTGTGTGTGTGTGTGTGTGTGTGTGTGTGTGAAAAAGAGACAGACAGACAGACAGACACACAACTTACTTGATCCTAACTCAATAACGTACCTCCCTGCTGGGGACAACACACACACCGAGGTTGTTATTTCTTCACCAGGACTACTAATCTCTCTAAATCTATCTATCTATCTATTTATCTGTCATCTATCTGTCTGTCTATCTGTCTGTCTGTCTGTCATCTGTCCATCGTGAAAGTCAAGTTGCCATAGAGCTTGCAGATTGGTGTCACTAATAGACTATGACTCACATAATCCCTTCCAGTCACAGGAAATACTTGGTGAATAGGTCACTGCAGGAATAGGTTCACTTGGTGAATACAAGAATAGGTCACTTGGTGAATAGGTTCACTTGTGGAATAGGCTACTTTTAGTCTCAGCTACGTTTATTTGCACACCCCAACACGGGCCAATCATAAAAATACCTTTTAGAATTTATGTGACGTCATTCCATACGTGGGTAGAATGAAGGTGGTGAGAAGGAGTGGTGGTGGTGGTGGTGGTGAAGTGGTAGATGTTGTTGGTGAAGTGGTGGTGGCGGAGAAGGAGGGTGTAGTGGTGGTGGTGGTGAAGTGGTGGTGGTGAAAATGGTGGTGGCTGTGGTGGTGGTGGGTGCTGGAGGGTGACCACCAACACTTCCGGCCGGCAATCCTCCTTCCCCTTCCCCCCACCCCAGTGGTTCCTCATGTGTCGAGGGGGGGGGCAGGAGGAGGGAGGAAGCAGGAGGGGGGAGGGAGGGGGAGGAAGCAGGAGGGAGAGGAAGGGGAGGAGGGAGGACAGTCACCACGGGAAATGGAGTAAATTGAGAGGTTATTACTTATTTGGACATGAATGGCAATGGCACACATGTCTTGTGTACTCGTATGTGTGTATGGTTCATGTGTGTGGGACACAGGGATCAGAAGACTCCCTAACTTAACTAACTTCCATCCCATCCTAATGGTCCTATCCTAATCTCAATTCCAATCCTATTCCATCTTAATTTAACCTAACCTAACCCACCTAATCTTGTAAGTGGTGGCGAGTGTAAATACGTCTACGTTGTTGCTATAGACTAAATTATTACATATACCAGTTACCGAATCTGAGGTTAGGTTAGTTAGGGCTAGGCTAGGTTAGGTCTAGGTTAGTTAGGTTAGGTTAGTAGTTAGGTTAGATTAGGTTAGGTTAGGTTAGGTTAGGTTAAGCGGATACATACCACAGTGTTTGAGCATCTAGATATATCCCAGCCTTGTGTAAATAAGAACAAGTTGACACAAGTGTATCTGGGCGCTGTACTACACACAGTCCTTCAGGGTAACAACTTGAAGGGTGTCAGCTCACAACACAGTGTAGCGTGAGAAGCCGCCTCCCCTTGCTCTCACGATGCTAGTCTTATCTCCTGCTGAATACCCTCTCACCTCGTCTATTGAGAGCACAGATGCCCACGGTTCAGTTGAAGGAGGGGGGGTGCCAGCCTCTTACCTCCCACCTTCTTCTCCTCCTCTCTTTCTCTCTTATTCCTTCTCGTATCCTTCTCTTCTCTTATTCTTCTTCCTTCTCCTCCTCTTCTTCCTCTTATTCCTCCAGATGAGAGTGTGGTGTCCTGACGTGTGTGTGTGTGTGTGTGTGTGTGTGTGTGTGTGTGTGTGTGTGTGTGTGTGTGTGTGTGTGTGTGTTTCCGAATTGAACTTGAGAATATCCAATAAGTTCTAAAACAAAACTTGTCTGTTTCTACATGTGGTCAAGACAACATTTATACATTTTGCTAAGAGTTCACTAGACACATTAAACTTTCTTATCTGTGGAACTTTTAAGCAGTATTTAGTCTCTGTTGAGTTCTTCATTCAGGGCAACTTTGTGGAGTGAGAAAGTTTGTAAGATAGAATTGTTTTGCGATTATTTTTTTGCGGTATTTTTTTGCGGTATTTTTCTTCATCAGTTAAATTCCATCTCTCAGCAGCAGACAATAGTAACATATAGAGTTACTTTAGTGTTCCTTTTGCCTATAAACTCTTTAACATGTTATTGTATCAGGCAGCTCCTCTACGGCCAGCTAACCTAACCTAACCCAACCCACCCAAAAAATAGCATCGGTATAAAAAATAAAATAAAATAATTATATAAAAGAGAAAAAACTGAACCCATTTACATAAAAAAAGATCTTAGCCTAATTAAACACTTTTTGAATGAATCAGTCGGACAAATACTCCACCACTATCTCTCTCCACCACTATCTCTCTCCACCGCTATCTCTCTCCACCACTATCTCTCTCCACCACTATCTCTCTCCACCACTATCTCTCTCCACCACTATCTCTCTACACCACTATCTCTCTCCACCACTATCTCTCTCCACCACTATCTCTCTACACCACTATCTCTCTCCACCACTATCTCTCTCCACCACTATCTCTCTCCACCACTATCTCTCTCCACCACTATCTCTCTCCACCACTATCTCTCTCCACCACTATCTCTCTCCACCACTATCTCTCTCCACCACTATCTCTCTCCACCACTATCTCTCTCCACCACTATCTCTCTCCACCACTATGGCGCTGCTTTAAGATGCTGTTGTATGAATGTGTTTGTCTCTCTCTCTCTCTCTCTCTCTCTCTCTCTCTCTCTCTCTCTCTCTCTCTCATTAACACCAGTAATAGCAGTATCATTATTTACTCTCATCATCATCATCGTCATCATCATAGTCATCATCATCATCATTGTCATTTTTTTTACTATTATTATTTTCTTGTTGTTGTAGTTGTTATTACTATTACTATTGTTGTTGTTGTTGTTGATGACCTTGTTCAGCCATTGTTATAAAGCAAGGTCAAGGTGAGACAAACATGGCAACTCCTAGAAGCAGCGGTGTAGTCTCCAGTGTTACCAAGTCATCAATCGTATAATCTCCAGGTCATTCAGTATAATAGAATTGCCTATCACTTGAGGGGCCCTTCTCTTGGTATTAGCAACACTGATCACTTCCCAACTCTTCTTATGGAGTCTTGTAAGATAATAGTCACTCTCTCTCTCTCTCTCTCTCTCTCTCTCTCTCTCTCTCTCTCTCTCTCTCTCTCTCTCTCTCTCTCTTAAGTCAAATTTAAAACTTAAGTCAAATTTAACACCTAAGTCAAATTTAACACCTACGTCAAATTTAACACTTAAGTCAAATTTAACACCTACGTCAAATTTAACACTTAAGTCAAATTTAACACTTACGTCAAATTTAACACTTACGTCAATTTTAATCAGTAAAAATATAAAATCTCAGCTATTTTTAATTACTGGGTTTAAAAATTACGTATTTAGAAAAACTATGATTATTTCTATAGCATATATTTAATTATGAAAGTTTATATTTAATTATAATAAAAAAAACAAATCCCTTTAAAATATTTAATTATTCCTAAAACGTGATTAATTAATTATCTGGGTAAAATAAACTCAAGAATGTTAACACTTAACTACTGAGCTAATTAAATATCAATAACTAATGAGGTAACTAATTACTGTGGAAATCTTATGAAATACACTAATTAATTATCATTTTATTCCCTTAATATTACAGTAATATATATATTTAATCACATCATTAATATTAATTCTAAGAAAAAAAATGAAATATACAAAGGAATTTTTTTTAGGGGAAACTAAAAAAAGAAGAAGAATTTTTACATATGGGGTTAGTTTTAGAGAAGACGGAAAAAAAAGAGAGGTTTCCCCAGAGGCAAAAACTAGGAAAAAAGAAAGTAAAGATATTAACATTTCAAAAGAGAGAGAGAGAAAGAGAGAGATTCTGGCGCCTCATTTGCATACCAACTCTTAAAAACAGGAGTGTACCTTTGCCCAGGAATTTTAAATGTGAGCACTAAGATGATCCGCCCATTTATATGATGCTGGTGGTGGTGGTGGTGGTGGTGAGTGATGAGTAGTGATGCTGGTGGTGGTGGTGGTGGTGGTGGTGGTGGTGGTGGTGATGTTAATTGTGATGAACAGTGGTAGTGGTGGTGGTAGTGGTAGTAGTGATAGCTGTTCTTAATAACATACGACAAGAATTTACATTGATACTGTAATCTGCCTTCTAAGATAGCTCTCTCTCGCTCTCGCTCTCTCTCTCTCTCTCTCTCTCTCGGTACAAGAAGAGGGGTAAAACTGTTGAGAGCAGCGGAGGAATGCAATTAGTCTCCATGTGTAGGTAAGACACTGCTTCAACCGGATTCCGGATTCCTAGTGAGAACGATGCTACGAGAACGCTCCCGGGGTAAACAGTTTCCCGCGAATTATGTAAATTAACCAACTGAGGCATTTTTTGACTTCCCATCCTTCCTGACTTAACCAAAGGAGCATTATGTTTGGTTTAGTTTTTTGGTCATTGGTGTGTGTGTGTGTGTGTGTGTGTGTGTGTGTGTGTGTGTAATAATAATAATAATAAACGGTTTATTGAAAAAGTTCTGCAGCCCGAAGGCTGAAAATATACATTGGACATAAATGACTTATTACATACATTGGTGGTTTAACAAAAGCCTTCATTAGAGAAAGGTGAAGGAACATACAGTGAACATACAGATTAATGTTTACACACGTAAATCATGTGAGCTGAGGTGTTGAACAGCAGACATGTAGTGTAGTAACTCCCTCACAGGTGGTGTTATGAGGGGCTTGACGTGGTGTAGTAATTCCCTCACAGATGGCGTTATGAGGGGCATCATGTGGAGTACTAGTTCCCTCACAGGTGGGGTTATGAGG